TCGTTCTCCTCCTCGCGAGCGCGCGAGCCATCGCCTGCTCCTCGCGTACACATATACACTCTCCCCCCGTTTTGTTGCTTCAGCCACCCCCACCCGCAAGCCACAGCTCTCCGGCCGTCAAACCACCCTCGGGCTTTCTCTCCCTCCGTAGGCATCCTCCGAACGTATCCAGTCCTTGCATATTAATCCTACCCATAATTCCCACTTCCAGTTTCGGCAACCCTTCGCTCTCCCGCTCACTGCCTAACGTAAGAGAGAGAGAGAGGGGGGGGGGTACGAGTGACCGAGGCAACCTATCGATTGGCCTTTCTTTCCGAGAGCCCGGCTTTTAATTGGCATTCTCCTGTGGCGAGAAGAGAAGCTCGGGACGAGAGGAACGCCAGAAATGAGATTAAGAGAGTAGGACGCGTGTGTGCCTGGGGACGTGTATACATGTACTCGCGGCCCGAAAGGGTTGTTGCTTTCCATGGCTGATGGTTTCAGGTATCCGGCGATTTTCCTTTCCAACCCCCTTTCCCTCTCTCACCCCACGTACGAGTAAAGCCAGCTTTTTTGCCCTCCGCTCCGCTGCTTCCCTTCTTTTATCTTCCCGTCGTCGTCGTCGTCGTCGTCGTCGTCGACGTCGTGTTTTTTTTTTTTTTTTTTTTTTTGGTCCCTATTATCTGCGCTGAACTCGAGTCAAATTCAAGCTCGCCCCCACGCTGCTGTTCACCCTTTTTACACGCAGGGGCGGACGACCGTGCCTGCTTATTACGTGCTATCTCTCCCTCTCCCCGCTTATGTATAGCCGGCCGGGGTGGTGGTGTGCTGACCAAGCCGTGACCGAGAGAGAACAACACCGGAGCTCGGGGGGAGGGGGGGGACGCGGAAAAAAAAAGAAAAGACACGTATACATCTCCTACTCCGTATTGCTCGTCCACCCCTTGGCTATCTGTTGTTGTTGTCGTTTTTTGCGTGTGTACGCAAAAACGATGACGCTCTACGTGCCCCCTCCCTACCTCTCGTTTTGTTTCGTTGCTCGGTAATTTCACGTAAGTTTGTAAACTCGTGGTGGACGTTGATTACGCGCGCTGGAGGAAATCGAGATACTTTTTTTTTTTTTTTTTTTTTTTCCTTTCGGATGGATCCTCGAGTTCAAAGGAACGATAAAATTGTTGGAGAAAAAAAAACATACGTATACTCACGTTGGCGGTGTACAGAGGGGGAGGGGGAAAAGTTAAGAGATATTAAAACGAGCTTGTAAAGATAGGGAGGCTTATTTGTCTACACACGCGCACGAGCGGGTTAAAAATGTTAAAAACGACGTCGCGTATGGAGAAGGGAGTGGGGGTGTGCACGACGTCGTCGTCGTTAAATTAACGGCGCGCCAACAACAACGGCCCTCCCCACCTCCGACTGTCCATACTTGCACACACGCGCTTGCGGAAATCCAAGTGTGGGCAAGCCCGGGGGTGTTATATAGATGGCCATACGCCGCGTCAGCTAGGGGCGATATCCTGCTTATATCGGCATCACGCAGTGGCCGGCCGAGACTCTCCGTTCCCCTGGAAAGGAGAAGAAGGGAGCAACGAAGAAGGGGTTGGGCGAAAGAAAGAGCGGGAGAGGGACCCAGGGCAGGTTTTGCATATGCGCGCTTGGCCGCGTGTGCGTGAAGATTGATTATACGCCGCGGGAGAAAATGTGATCAATATATAGCGGAGAGAGAAAGACCGAGAGTTGGTGTGTGTGTATATATACATATATGGGGGGTACAAACAAAGCAGCATATATATGTATACGCGTGTGGAGGGAGCGAAGCCCCCTGGCCGCTGATGTAGCCCGGCAGAGTGCAAATAGCAAAAATCAGCCGAGGATTAGGCTCCTCCTTTCTTTCGCCCGTACATATATATAACTATAAATACCATCCTGCGTGAATATTATTCTCTCTCTTTTCTGCTCTTTCGTATGTATGCGTAGCATTTTTTGAACCCCGGAGCAACAAAAGCCCCCGCGCGTCGGACGATCAATCGCGACTTCCGGTTTTCGGTCACCTCTTTCTCTCTACCCTTTGTTCATCCGGATCGGTTGTCCGAGCTTTTTTTTTTTCCCCTCCACCCTCGCACAATCACCAAGTACGCGTATAAGGCCCCCCCCCCATCCATTCACACGGGGCTGCTTTCTTCGGCTCTCGCGCACCCACGCCCGTAATCGAATTAAGATCGCGCCGAAAAGGGAGCCCTCTCTACTTTTCTTTATTCGCGCAACACTGTTTCTCTTTTTTTTTTCTCCTCCCCCTCCCAGTCCTTTATTTCGCGCAACTGCATTCCTTTACCTCCCCATTCCTTTTTGTCGTGGGTTGTATAATGCACATACAATGGGGGTGGGAGTGTGCGCTAATGACGAATAAAACGCGCGTACCTTAGAAACCTTAGATCACGCGAGCAATAAGAGAGCAATGTTGCTCAAGGGCGAGCATCACAATCAAAACGCTATACTTTTTCGTCTCGGTTTTCTCTCCGCCATTACAAAATGCCGTATACATTGTAATACAAGTTTACCGCAGGGGGAATCGAGCGCGCGTGTGACCGTCTCTGCATAATATGCTCTCGTCACTTTGGTACGTTATAACGTATGTGTGTATACACCGTCCGACAAACACACATTAGTCCCGTAACGATCCGAGACACGCACCCCCGCGTCCCATTGATCGCAATTACGACGATCGGCAGTGAATAATTGATCGCGCCATATACCGATCGACGTACTTGATCTGCGTGTATGTATATATATATACTTCGATTCAAAAGCCGCTCAAAGTATCAAAACATTTGTATAGGTGCAGCGCGATATATAACACAAGCCCGCTCCTCGTCATCGCCGCGGGGCTTTATCGTATACAAACCATCGTCGCCGTCTTCGGGGATTCCTTAACGATCCTGATGGAGTCGGGAGCTAATGGCCCTCCCGATTACCGGGGCGATCGGGCCAACTTTGGAAATTTGACCCCGAGCCCCTACGTGTACATATTACACACCCTCCTCTCTCGTACATTGGCTGTGAAAACTCGTACACGTGGAAAAACTCGCGCGTATCGATTAAAAAAAAAAAAAAAACAAAGGTGCAGAAGGGGGTGGGGGGTAGGCGAAGGAAAAACTTGGCTGTACACGTGTGTACGTGGCGTTACCTAGAAAACTGCAGTAGTTGCGCTCGTTCGATTGCTCTATGAATAATAAAAAAAAATAATAGAGTCGCGGGGTTAGAGGGGGGGGGGCAACAATAATAATCGCCGTGAAAAACGGTGCCTATACACTACCGTATCGCGCGTGGGTGCGTAATCGGTTCGATTCGTCCGTAATTTGCGAATTTGTTTTCGCGCGAAAAACTTACGCGTTATAAATACCCGCTCTCTCGGGAGAGTGCGGTGTAGAGGCGGACGGGAGGAACCTATCGATAGGCCATACCATAGGAAGCGAGTGGTGTTTGCTCAACGGCGGGACGAGTGGGGAAAAAAAAAAAAAAAAGAAAATGGGAAAGGAAAAATAAAAAAAAATGGAGGAGAGGGTAGAAAAGAGCGATGCTCGATTAACCTGTTTGCTCAGCCCTGGTAACTCCGAGCGGCGTGTTAGCACGCAACTGGGGGTAAAACGAGCAAATCGGCCGGGCGATGCATCGATGGGGGCGCTCGCTCGCGGGAAAAACAATTGACGCCGGGCGAGGGTGTGGTGGTGTATCGGGTAGCGCGGAAAATCACTCGGGTTTTGCCCGTATACCACACCGCCAACTGGCTCCTGCTGGTTTTCAGCCTCTCGGGCTTTAGCACCCCTCGCCCATGTACACCGCGTGTGCATCGAGTGGCTCATACGTATATGTATACACCTGTAAATACGCGTGTATGGGTACGCGCGTGGAAAACGAGAGTAAAGCGGAACAGAGGTGGCGGCAAGGAAGGAGGGGAAGGGAGCTCTGAAGTACACGTGGATAGGTTTCGAGTGGTCGATTTCAATTGATCATGCATTCGCTACCTCACCTCACCTCATCCATATTGTGCATATAGGTTATACGTACCTCTGATGTGCCGTATGGAGTGCCTACTCTTATATATATTATGTCCCCCTTCCCACTTTTCCGCCACGCGCGCGCGACTCTTTGCAAAGTGTGTGCAGTGTGCATAGTGCCTTGGATAGCACGTGGCTTGGATTATCGAACGAGGGGAGCCTATGGGCTGTATGTTGGATTTTTTTTTTTTTTTTTTTTTTTCAAATGACGAAAGAGAATCGGCGCGGCTGATGGATCAGTGAGGCGCTGGTAATCGATTGCCGGGGAGAGTTCAAAGGGTATATAAAAACGACCACAATTATTATACCCTCCGCGGGAATCATTAAATTTGCCAAGTACGTCTCGATTGATCACAGTTGGCGCAAGGTTTTTTTTCGCGTTACACGTGATTTTTCGCACGTACGAAAATTTTCACTTTGATGTCCGTGACGATGTCATTACGAGAAAGAAAGTAAAGTTTTTGCGAGCTCGAAACAACATGATCCCTCGTAATTTTCGGGCAATTTGTCGCGTCCACGGAGTCATATCCTTCGTAACGACACGGGGTAGTAATAATTATATAGGCACGTCGAATAACAATAGATAACCATCGGGATTTATATGAGCAGATATTATAGTGTCAATGTATATATAAAACGTGTTATTGAAAAGCTCGATCGGATACGTGTCTCGAGCCAACGAGTATACACACGCGCATGCAATCGATAACCGATGCATATAGTGCATCACCCATTAATTACTCGATACCCACGGCTCTTCCGAAGTGAGAATTCCACTCGAGGGGAGCTATGCACCGCAACATCACACGCGTCGCCTATCAATAACTCATCGAAATCCAATGGCCGATTATATCGCCTCGTGCATTATTATTATTTATATGAAACGAAATAAAAAAAAACAACAACGAAAGTGACAATGTATAGTTATGGTTATTGTTATGATTTCTCTTTTTGTCCCGCGCACAGATCAGCCAGCTGATGGAGGAGGTGTCGAGGCTGCAGATGAGCCTGCAGCGCGTGCAGGAGACGAGCGCGCAGGCGAGCGCCCGGCTCGAGGAGGAGTTGGAGGCGCGCCGGCAGCACATAAGCCGGCTCGAGGTCAAACTCGAGCGCCAGAAGGACTACGAGGAGCTGAAGCGCGAGATCAGCGTCCTGAGGTCGGTCGATCTGTCGCAGATACCGACCGGCGAGCACGGCAAGAGTCTCGAGCAGGTGCTCATCGAGCGCTCCAAGGCGCTTCAGCAAGCCGAGGGACTCAAGCCACCCGGCACGCCGGACGCGCTTGGTGAGTTATGGTTTTTTTTTCCTTCTTTTTTTTTTTTTTTTTTTATTTCTTTCCTTCCTCCGTCGCTGCTGCTGCTGCTTTTAACTGCTACCATCGGCGAAAGTTTGCGGCGCTTTTTTCTTTTGCTACGCGAATAAGCTTTTGCATATATAACAATGTTATACAATACCGATCGCTGTATAATTACTCCTGCATATATATTATATACTCCGACGTTTAGTTTTTAAGATACGATGCGCGCTATACCATTGCGTACGCAACGAGGAAAAAAAAAAGAAAAAAAAAAAAAAAATGGTTGTGGCAAGTGATGGGTAAGAGAATTAAAAGCTTTGCTAATTTCTGTGCTGCTGCTCTGATTTCCGGACCTGACTCTTTCTCTTCGAGGCCCCATCGTTGTATGAGACCTGCTATCAATCAACAATCCCAATTTTCTTTTTTTCTCTCTCGTCTAACCCACCTTCTTTTCTTCTCGACTGTTAATATACTTCTACATGTATTATTATGATTTTTAACACAAACAATATTATATGTACCTACCTGTATATTGCGCAAGATGAACTATACATATACACAAGTGAACATGACATAAGAAATGTTGTACGAGCATAACTGAGAAAAATAGAAAAAAAAAAAAAACATGTATATATATATAAAACTCTCGGCTTGCGGTTGAACTCGCACGCGTATTTCTTTGATTTTCTCTGACTTCACAATTTCTTTTTTTTTCATCATATGTATGTATATACGTACAATTGCCTACGTTTTTTGTCCACGTCATGTATACTCTTTCGACGTTGATTATCCCCTTTTTTCCTTTTCGCAACATCTCATCATCTTCTCATTCACTCATTATCTCCGGCTCTCCGTTACTCTTTCTCCGCAGATCCTCCCCATCAGCTACACACACACACAAACCTCTTGCGCCGCTCTCTCTTGCTCCCTTTCTGGCTTTATCGCAAAAATTATTCTTCCCTCTCTCTCTCCCTTTCTCTCCTCTCGGCGTTTCTCTGCGCGCTTAGGCTGCACTTTTTTACTCTAACTCTCCAACTCGTTTTATTGACTTCTCGAAACTACCTTCTCTCTCTTAAACTCACCCTCGCTCGCTGGGCAGATTTAACTCTCGTATACATTTTCCATGTGTACATATTACCTGCGAGTGTACCCATATACGTACGAAACAACGCCCCCCCCCCCCGCAACACACCCTCCGCCCACTTATGACTCGCCCTCTTTGTCTCTCTCTCTCTCTCTCTCTCGTGGTGTTCTCTTTCTCCTGTCTGTCTGAGTGAGTAGCTCGGTCTCTGAGCCGGCACCGCCGACGCGCCGTTGTTTTTTCTCTTTCTCTCGCTCGACTCCTCGCCAGCCCCGAAACCACCTACTCTCCCGTGTTATCCATACTGTACCACCGCCAAAGCCGCCCCATACAGACACCACCACCACGTGGAAGGCGAAACTTTCGCGTACGACGATATTCGCAATATTTGGCCCGGGTGTACCTAGCTGCGCCCATTGTTTCGGCCACCCGAGTTTATTATGAATTGATCCGAATGAGAGAGAGAGAGAGAGAGGGAAGGAGGAAGCGGAAGAGAGCCACGGGGGCAGATACTGCAACGTCACCCCGTATTCCGATCCTCTCTTCTTCCGCTTGATGGTCCTCTCCTGTCGAATTCGAGCCGTGCAGCCTCGTCTCTCCCCTCCGGATGGATCTCCAAATGCCGACCAGGCCTCTGCTCCTCCACCCCCCCCCCCCCCCCCATCCGCGAGTGTATATGATTTGCTCTTCAGGACGATGAATGTACATATATACGTGATTCCACTCGTCGAGGCCGCAATTACTTAATTGATTGTCACTGCGAAGATTGTAGCTGGCAAAATTTCGCTTTTTTGCATTGTTGCTACGCTGCTACAATCTCACTCTCTCTCTCTCTCCCTTTTTTTCGTTTATGTCAAATGGTATCCTCTGTTTTTTTTTTTTTTTTTTTTTTTACATGCACTTGTTTTAAATGTTTGTTGTTGTTTTTTCTTTTTTTTTTAAATTTTTACTTTTGATTATACGTTCACTGCAAAATGCAAGTATCGATGGAAGCCACCGAAGAGAGGGCAGAGTCGGGTTACCTTGTTGTGATATCGTTTAATGGGTGGGGGGGAAACAAAATGCAACGCGACGTATGGAATGTAGCGTGGTTTCAATCGTGTGTGAAAAATAAAAATAAAAAAAAAAAAAAAAAAAAAAAAAAATGGTGCCCATGACCGTGTGGTTGTTCTGCTTGGGATTGCAGGTGGATTGTCGTCGCCCCTGCAGCGGCCCGCGACCGGTTCGCCCCACGGCTCGGTGATCCCGGCCCCCTTGTCCTCCCTGATGCCCATCAGCAGCAGCAATTCCCAGCCGGCGAGCCGGTCCACGCCCACGCCCTCCTCGACCACCCACCAGGCCCAAGTTGGCGTCTCCTCCTCCTCCACCACCACCACCACCACCTCCTCCTCCTGCTCCTCTGGCTCGTCGCTCCTGTTCCCCCCGCCCCTGCAGAACGTCGAAACGTTCGGCTCGTTCCTCGGCGAGGAGATCGTGGCCAACTGGAGGCGATCCCTGGAGAGGTCGATCTTGAGTCAGCAGCAACCACAGCAACAGCAACAACAACAACAACAACAACAACAACCACCGACCACTCCCTGCACCCAGAATATCATCACCACCAACACCACCACCACCAACACCACCACCACAACGCCAGCAGTAGCAGGAGCAGCAGCAGCAGCAGTCTCTCTAAATCGCCTTCCGTCGCCTACAGATTCGTCGCCGTCGGCCCTACTACAGCATCACAGTGCCACCAGTACCCCAACAAAGTCCTGCAGCGGCCTCGTCAGTCCCCTCGTCGACCACCACCAACCACAGCACCACCACCACCACCACCACCAACACCACCAACACCACCATCAGTCGCAACAGTTGGCCATAAGTCTCGAAAAGGCGCCGACGCCGGGTCGGGAGACCCCCGTACCCGGCACGCCCTGCTCGAGCACGCCCAGCTTGACCTCGCCGCCCCTGCTCCTCGGGCCCGGGGAACCACTCAGCAATGGGCCGGCACCTCCACCCAAGAGCCCTGCCGAGGACGTCGCCGCTGCTGTCCACAACAGCTTCGTCGCCGCCTCCGTGGTCTGTAACAACAACAACAACAACAGCCACCACCACCTCAACAACAACAACAACAACAACAACAACAACAACAACAGTAGCAGCAACAACAACAACATTGTGGGGGCCGGTCTGAGCGGGGTCCTGGACAGCTTGAAGAGCGGGCCGTTCCGGTTCGACGAGAGAACGCACCCGTTTCGCTTCGGGGATGAGTTCGGGGCTGCGGGGATGGCGGGCCGTATCGGGGAGTCGCTCATACCTAAGGGCGACCCAATGGAGGCGCGCCTCCAGGAGATGCTGCGCTACAACATGGACAAGTACGCGTCGCAGAACCTCGACACGTTGCACATATCGAGGCGGGTGCGGGAATTGCTGTCGATACACAACATTGGCCAGAGATTGTTCGCCAAGTACGTGCTTGGGTTGTCCCAGGGCACGGTTAGCGAGTTGTTGAGCAAACCCAAGCCCTGGGACAAGCTAACGGAGAAGGGCCGCGACAGCTACAGGAAGATGCACGCGTGGGCCTGCGACGACAACGCCGTGCTGCTACTCAAATCCCTCATACCCAAGAAAGGTGAGTTACTCTGTCTCTCTCTCTCTCTCTGTAGTTGATGATCTTTCTCCTACATCTGTGATGACTCTTACTCCTCTCCCCCGTCACATAGTTTTGATTCGTCTCTCTCTCTCTATCTGTGTTTGTGCGTTTTTTTTTTTACATCCCTTACTCTCCCATATATACCGTCCATGCATATATACTTCCCTCTTCTTATCTAGATCTCTTGGTGTTGTCACGCATACACGTACACATACACACGTAGATGTACCATGTTATACACGTACAAATATATATTATTATGAAGCCGAACCGCGGATTCTCAATTTCGTTTGTGCGGGCGCGTCACGTTCCTCTGTATGCGACTCCGCTACCTTTTCTTTGACCCCAATGCTCGGCTTTTCCGAGCTCGCGCGGAATAATATATCGAAATTGAGAATCCAAACTCTCGTACATTGTATATGATGTGTGTATATAATTTGGTGGGTACAAGGTACTCACTTACCCGGCCAAAACTCTGTTTGTTGTGTCTCTTATTCTCTCTCTCTCTCTCTCTCTCTCTCTGTCTCTCTTTGGCTCTACGACTCGCCTGGCACTGCTAATTAATTAATATTCCGCCGAATTGTGTGTATACCTATACTGTACTAACCAACAACTGCGAGCTCTCGCGATTAACCGCATCGTATGTATGTGTATATGAAAATGGTGGGTGCGTGTGAGTTGTAAGATGTAACCACGACATGCGTTACGTGCGCGGGTGATTTTTTTTTTTTTTTTTTTTTTGTCAAATGACGAAAGAGAATCGGCGCGGCTGATGGATCAGTGAGGCGCTGGTAATCGATTGCCGGGGAGAGTTCAAAGGGTATATAAAAACGACCACAATTATTATACCCTCCGCGGGAATCATTAAATTTGCCAAGNGCCGCCTGCGCTTTTTTTTTTTTTTTTTTTTCATCTTGGATTATCAAGATGTTTTACCAAGCGAGAGGATGCACGGGAAAACAGTTACCGTATTCGATATGGGGAATTTAGTAACTACAGAAAGCAAGTGCTGTGTTGTTTTGCACGACTATTGGTTTTTTCAACGGAGCAAAAAGTTTAATAACAGCTTACACATTATGAAATGTGTAATAGTCTACATTGAGCTATACACATGATTGTAGGCATTTTCGGTATTTTACAACGAAATTTGTCATCTGTGATAAAATAAAGCTGAGGAGTGCCTTTTTTTCAACCCTGCGGGTCGAGTCATAAAAATGTGTAAAAAAAAAAAAGAAAAAAAGAAAAGGCCCATCGCTCGGAAATTCAATCGGAGCACAATACTACACCGGGGGTATTATATCGGTCTTCTCCCCGCCACTAGGAGCCGGCCCATTGATTGGCTCTGGCGCATTTGTCAGGCTAATAACTCCTGGGAAATAACACCGGTCGATGTTGACGGCAGGGACTGCCGATTTATCATAGAGCGGGGGTGTGCATACAGCTGCCGAACCCGTCAAGACAAATTCCTCGGAGATTCTTGCCGCGTATATACACATCTCGAGAGACACCCTCAAACAGAAATAGAGATGGGGGCAACACGAAGATTGGGGCGAATTTTTGCGACGCCACGCGTGCCTTTGATTTCTTGTGTTGCGTCTCGCGTGCCTTGTAATGCCCATTCAATTATTTGGTTCCAACGGCAGCCGCGTTGCTCAACTTTTCTCACGCGCGTAACGCTAACCCGGTTTTTTTTTTTTTTTTTTTTCTTCATCGCATTAAAATCGTTGCGCTTACTTATACCCCCCCTTTTCTTTTTTCCACCGCAGGTATGCGCAATATTATTATACACGCGTCGCACGAAGATCCAGATTGGAAAAGCGGCAACGGTAACAATAAACAATGGCACATCGCGGGGCTTCCGGATCACAACGTAACGTTACATACACACACACACGGGTGGCGTGCAATAGAGTTGCGCAACAGGACGAAAGTGGGTCGATGTGGCTCCCTTTTGTCCGAGATGGGATATGTACGTGAAACCCTATGTATATGTGACGCGTCGCGCACTCCTCCATATAGATATGAATATCAATTATCGCACATAATATATGTATACGCGTATGCAGCGACACTTTGGCTGTGCGCTTCGTCGCACTTTCCCTCTCGTTGCGCCCGTGCATCGCGATTGTTGTTCGGTTCTCATCAACGCCTCGTTGATCGTCGACTTATTCATGGACTTGCGTCATTATTCCCCATCTATTGGATGGTATTTTTTCTCGCGTTACTTTCGTTCTAAAAAACCGTGGAAACAAGACAAATATGGGGTAAAAATTATTAGCAACTCGTGCATTACGTACATGGATATGTTTCAAAGAGGGTCAATGAGGGTGCAAACCGTACAGGCGAGAAGGAAGGACCCCATCGTACGTATATAGTAAAGTAGAAGCGAGAATTCAGCTGTAGAGTATCGTTGTGTATGTATGGGTTTTATTTTTTTCTTGGAAAATCTATCGAATAAAGGGATCGACACTTGGAAGGTGTCTCGAGAGCCCCATCGAGTTTCAAGGGCAAAGTTCGAGGTAACCCGATAAACTTTTCGCGCCCAACAAGAAGCCACGGCGTACCTTATATACCATATACAAATCGGTATAGGTATATATATATATATATTGTATAATATACAAAACGAAGGAGGCAGATAAGAGAGGCAAAATTACCTCTTTATTCCGCGCTGCTGCTCTCCTCGTCGCTAATTATCACCGCGTCCGACGCGCGCACTTTTTGCCCTGGCGACCCTTATATATGTATATTGTACACTTGAAGGCGACAAAAGCCCGCAGCTTATTTTCAACGAGATAAATATACCCACCGCCGACGACTTTGCCAACCATCAACTTCCCTAATCAGCTAAGATTTATGAGTCCGAGCCTTTGCTCGCCCACATCTTTCACTCGCTTCCGATCGGCCGGGGAGGGCTCCTTTGCGCCGAGCCGAAAACTGTTTCCCCTTTTAGATGCTCGGGGATGACGACCTGCTTTGAACCGTCGATCAAAACCGATCGATACGAATTGTCCCAGATTTTTCTCTCCGATTCACTCGAAGCGCGATTTTCTCGCGATCGGTTGTCACCGCGACCAAAAGCAGCGGGTAATAGCTCTCGACAAACGATTTTCCCTAATTACAGCACAAACCGTCTCTTCCTATACACCGCGAAACGAGAGCCGCGTCAATTACGCACCGAGAGCGCGAACGAGTTTCTCTCCCTTTCGTTCATTAGCCGGCGAGGCGCGTCCGCTTGTCCCCGCTACGTCGCGTATACGTCTTGCGCACGGCATAGCGATGCGCGTACGTACATTTTTCATACACGCGATCCGCGGATCGGCAACGATCCTCTCGCGCAGGAGCGATCCGCATTCCCACGGAATTATATATGGCGCGGGCGCGCGTTTCGCAACGCCGAGGACGACCCGCAAGGAGGAGCCGAGGCTCGATTGTTCCCCCGAGATAATTGCCCAAAGTGTCGCTGCGGCTTCTGTTGTCGCGCCGCGTGCGAAGAAGCGGGGGAAAAAAAAACAGTACATTGTTCCCCAAGAACCATCCACCGATCGCTCGAGTTTTTTCTAATCGTCGCGGTGACAATCGTAATTGTACGGCACTCGCGGGCGCGTAACTCGTGAAAGTTCCGGTTTCTGTTTTTTTTTTGTTTGCCGGGACAATAATAATCGTAATAACTCGACGCACAGAGTCGAGTTTGGGTCGTCGAAGCCACAGGTAAATGTATTTGTATTAAAATGTAATGGTTCCTATGGGTGTACAACAAAACCGTACTACAAGCGCGTACATCCTAAAAAGTGCAGGTGAAGAGGAACTGCGGCAGAGGGGCCACGAAAAATCACTGCTCGTTTTTATTTTCTGTCGTTCCCTCTTCCTCGGGGGGCTCAACGAAGCGTGCACCTCTTTTATTGATAATTACGTTATTAATAAAGTTTCGCCATCCTGCGGAAATGAAAATCGGGCCCGTGAATTATCGGAGCGCCGCGGTGTGTCGACGCGATCAGCCGAGCGTGGCGGTATATGTTCCATCATACACACACGTAAAGTTGTGCTCGCAACCTCCCTCCCTTGATGGGGAAAGGCAAATAAATCAGCGGCTCAGTTGTTCTCCTTTCGCCGCCTGCGCTCGTCTTGCGTGTGTGCAGGTATACGTCGCTCCGGCGGCTGTTTGTGCATCACGTGTGCGCGGAGAGCCATAAGTAGGTACTGGAGAAACGTGTGAGAACCGTCGAGTCGCGGGAGAAGGAAAAAAATCACCCGTCAAACGGACTCCGTGCGTGCGATAGACCGCATCGGAGCGGTTGAATAAGACGATGTTACCCGTGTTACACCGATGGTGCTGCAACAGGTCTCACCATTCGATGTATATGTATAGGTGCGTTTGCGGATAAAATATTTTAATGTGAAAAATGTAAAATCGGTCTCCCCCTTTAACGATTAATCTGCAGTTGGTCCACATTCGCGTATACGCATACGTCAACCGATCAGCGTTAGCTCGATCGGTATGCGCTGGCAGCGGCTCAAATTTTGCGACGATGCAAATAGCTGTTACATGTATACGTATACGATGCGAGTCTCCATTAGCGCGCCGCAGGTATAAAGCGGCGCTCGCCTATTATACGCGCACACAAAATTGGCTACCGCCCTCCTGTGTTGTACTACATGGTACGCGCGGCCAATTGTCCGCGAAATCAGGGGCTCCGTCGAACTCTCGATTTCGCGCCTCTCATCCGTCCCGTACGACCTAAATTGCAAATCGCGATTCCTCGCGCGGACGAGGCTTCAATTTTAACTCGGAAAAAAAAAACAAACTGTACTTGCGCAACGGAAAGGTCGATTATTTTCGAGATCCAATCTGTTATGCCGGTGTTTTTCCTCGACGAGGAAAACCAACCCACAGATGCGTATCGGTTGAATCGCTCGTTTCACTCGGGATGATTAACAAGACGGGTCATTTCGACAAAGAGTAACAAAAAAAAAAAAGGAAAAAAAAAACCATAACTATAGCTCCGTCGCATCCGAATGTGCAGTTGTTATTACACCGCACAGCAGAGGTACTCGATGCGGCTGTCTCCTCTACTCCACTCCCCTAGTGAACAAGAGAGAGAGAGAGAGATATGTACACTTTGAAGAGCAATCAAAGCCAAAGTCAGTCGGAGGGGGGCGATCGATGGCTGATTTGTCTGAGACTCGCGGTTGATTGGTCAATTAGATGGAAAACACGTATCGGGAGCTCGAAGGACACTCGTGAACGAAAGTTGAACGTTGGGGTAAGAGAGAGAGAGAGAGACCACAGGCGAAAGGGGGGAGAGGACCGTGTTTTAATTATCGCGAGCTATACGATGGGCAGGGGATACACTCGACAAGACGCCCGCGAGGCTTATACCTATAACCCCCTGTACGATCGCAGCTGTGGTGCCGATCGATTTTTTCAGTGCTGCGCTAATTGCTATCGGCTCCGCGTGTATCGAGATCCACTCAACTTGATTTTTTTTTTTATTTTCCTCTCGGAGACTCGAGAAAAAAATCGGATTCAATGGGCATTTTTTTAAATTTGTTTGAGAATCCTCCTCAGCTTATCGGATTACGCGTGCATATATACCCTCTGGATCTACATTAAGTAAGAAACGAGGTTTTAGCATAAGGTACGAGGGGGGTAAGAGTTTGCAGCGCGAGGCGATCGAAGAGGAGTTATTAACAATCGAGCGGTCAATTTTCCGGCAAATCGCGTCCCAACGCGAATAATGAAACGAATTCGAGAGCGATATCCCGTCAATCAGTGACTTTTTGGTGGCTAAATTTGCGAAAAAATGATGAATACTGCAAAAGCGCGCCGGTTATCGGTATTTTCGTCCGGATCATTGAAATACTCGCGAATATGGATGGGACGCTCCATGAATATTCAACCGGAGACGACACAGCTCGGCTATCGGGGCTATTTCCACCAAAAAAAAAAAAAAAAAACCCAACACACCCATACATCTTACATACAATGATAAAACACACATTAAACACACGTATGCCTTGATTGTTGTAACGTTTATTGGTTGTGCCTATGTGTAATGTATTAGCGTTAAGCGTGGGTGGGGGATGGGCGGGATCGAGAGATGTGCTTCTCGCCCATGCCCCTGCACTTGCATTGAAAGAAAGATCAAATTGAAGAACGCACCGCAAGTCGTGCCTCACGTGTAGAGTATGTTTCAGGGAAGGAGCCGGGGGTAACTGGTGGTTTCGGGCGCGCCGGTCAGGACGGCTCGGGTGGCAACGGTGGCCCGGGCACGCCCCAGGAGTCGAGCGACGAGCGCATGGCCCACATGCTCACCGAGTCGGCGGCCCATCTGCAGCTGCACCAGCAACAACAGGCCACCCGTCACCAACTGCACAGCGAGCCCGACACGTCGAACGACGCCGACAGCAAGAGCCCCAGTCGGCTCAACTGCCCGAGCCCCTTCGCCGCGATAAAGGACCGCTCGTCGGCCGGCCTCGACTCGGTCGGTCAGAACCGCAGGCTCAAAAAGTACGAGAACGACGACATTCCCCAGGAAAAGGTGGCCAGGATCTACAACGAGGAGCTCGCCAAGATCATGGGCCGAAGACCCGAGGACATGCGCGGCCCGCGCGACTTTCCCACCAGGTGAGCATTACTTTTTTTCTTTTTTTCTTTTTCTTTTTTTTCTTTTTCTTTTTAACCCCTCGGTTCATCGATACAACGTACCCTTTTTTTTCATTTTCCATTTTCGTCCGGTTTTTGACGCGCGCCGATGAATTTTCAGCCGAGAGCCATCACTCAAAATGTGTATTTCATACGGTCGAACCCCGCCCCTTTCCGTCAAAATCAAGAAATCCCGGGGACCCCGTCATTTCATCGAGCGGGGCTGCATATATTAATTACCCGATGACTTTTGAGTTTGGCTTTGCCGTGACAATTTGTTATTTTCAACCGAGAGCGCGTACAGGGAATCGATTCCCTTTCTCCCCCCTTGCCATGGCCGGGCGTACATGAAATATTCATCTGGATGGAAATAGAAGGGATACCGAGAAAGGGAGGGGAAAAAAAAAAAGGCAACCGACTCGATCGAGGACAGCAGTGTGATCCCGATTGATCGTAGCGCGATGTTTCCCAATATTTTCAGCGGCCAGAACCTCCAGGGGATGGACCGCACGCAGGAGGAGATCCGCATGGCCCTGGACGCGTACCACCGCGAGCTCCAGAAGTTGAACGTCGCCCAGGCGGGTCTGCCCTACCCATCCCAGATCTCGAACCTGTTGGCCCTGCAGCAGCACGCGATGCAGCAGCACCACTTGGCGACCAACGGTGCCGGGGCCACAGGTGTCGGGCCGGTCACGAGTTCGGCGGCTGCAGCGGCGGCAGCGGCAGCGGCGGCAGCTCAGGATCTCAGTTTTGGCAACATATTGCGCAACAAGATGATCAACGGCGTGTCCGAGGAGGACAAGGAGAAGATGGAGGAGGCGATGAGGCACGCGGGCAGCGCCTTTTCGTTGGTCAAGCCGAAGCAGGAGGGCCCGGGTGCCGGTGCCCAATCGACGCCCGGTGGCTCCAGTGCGAGCTCGCCCCTGGGCAACTCGATACTGCCCCCGGCGATGACGCCCAGCGAGGAGTTTGCCGGCGCGGCCGCGGCTAGTCCTCTGCAGCGCATGGCCTCGATCACCAACAGCCTCATCAGCCAGCCGTCCACCCCGTCTCACCACACGGCCAACCAGAGGCCGCTCAAGGCCGTGTTGCCGCCCATCACCCAGCAGCAGTTCGACATCTACAACAACCTCAACACCGAGGACATCGTCAAGAGGGTAAAGACCTTTGTAAGCTCCGCTGAAGGCAGGCATGAGAAAGTTGCGCGGCTAGTATTATACGCTTGCGCTCGGTTGACCCACGAAGCTTTGGCCGTTGCAGTTTTTTTTTTCATCCACTGGTTCGAGTTCTCCCTCACACGTGTCTTGGATCGCCTGGCTAGCACGGGAAATTTCTTTTTTTTTTTTCTTTTTTTTTTTTTTTTTTTTTTCAGATCCAAGTTTAATCGTATATGGTATCAGTCCACTGAGTAGCCATCGTGTTAACTAAAACTAATTTTTTATATTTATATAGTAGCAAAGACCATGTCTGTAAGTATGTGAGGGCCAAAAGTTCCCTTACAAGTATTACAGAAAAATTGAAAAGTACATTTATGTAAAAATATTTGAAGTCATACGAAAAAGTAATTTCCTTTATTGTTTACTGTGCAACAATGACATGGGGCCAAAGAAATTCAAGACACGGGTGAAAAGTGTAAAAAATCTGGTATTTCACCTAGAAGGGCATGTAAAAAAAGAAAAAATTTAAATATTTTAGTAGACTTCAACTCTCGAATATAATTGAGATTGTAGTGGCGGAGGTCGTCCATTCTCCTTGTTACAAGTACATAAAATATCCATACTAGTCGTGTACTTTCTCATGCCTGTATTGCACATATCCACAAATGCGCCCCAGCAGCGTCTATTTATCATAAATATAAAACGAAATGCACGAAGCAATTCTGCTGCTGAAACGCTGCAAGTAATTCAACGTCGTCGTTTCCGCTCCAGTTTTCATTTCATCTGCATTCACTCGTCAAAGTATACGGATAAAGTTTTAATAAATAAACGACGCACGTGATTTTCATGACACAGGTGAAAGAGCAGCTCTCCCAGTACTCGATCTCGCAGCGTCTCTTTGGCGAATCCGTCCTGGGCCTGTCCCAGGGCTCCGTGTCGGATCTCCTGGCGCGGCCCAAGCCTTGGCACATGCTCACGCAAAAGGGCCGCGAGCCCTTCATCCGCATGAAGATGTTCCTCGAGGACGACAACGCGGTGCACAAACTCGTGGCCAGCCAGTACAAGATCGCCCCGGAGAAGCTGATGAGGACCGGCGGCTACGGCGGCCTGCCTCGTAAGTTTAACTCAGGTCGATATAGATGTTTTGTTACTTTTTTTACCACCTACACACGTAGCTCGGCAGCTCTCCGTTAATTATTTATTTTTTTAATTGCGCTTGAAAAAAAAAAAAAAAAAAAAAATAAAAAAAAAAAAAAAATGTGTATAATACAAAACTTGAAAACTTGAGTGCTAACGAAACCAACAAAGGAGCTTCTGAACTATGTTACCCCTCGACAGAACAGAACCCCCCATCTAACTGTACGACATATATTAACATTGCAGCATGCGGAACGCCGATGAAGCCAATGCCACCGACAAAGCTGGTCCAGGAGCAGCTGCAGAAGCAGGCGCAGGCGGCAGCCCAAGCGGCAGCGGCTGCCTCGGCCCAGCACCAGCAGGAGAGCCACTTGCAGCTCGGGCCACCCCAGCAGAGTCCCCAACACTCGGTGCATCAGCAACAGCCATCGCCGATGCTGCTGACCCCGCCTGGACCCATCCTGTCGCAGCACGCGGCGGCGCAGCTGAGCATGCAAGAGCTCCAGAAAAAGCAGCTACAGCAGCAGCAAAGGGAGCAACAGCAGAGGGAACAACAGCAAAGGGAACAACAGCAACGGGAACAACAGCAGCAGCACCTGCACCATCACCACCATCATCATCAGGCGGCCCCGATGAGCTTGCACTCGCCGCACCATCAGCTGGCCCCGTCGCCCCTGCGTGGCCTCCACTCGCACATAACGACGAGCGTGTACGAGATGGCCGCATTGACGCAGGACCTCGACACCCAGACCATCACGACCAAGATCAAGGAGGCCCTGCTGGCCAACAACATCGGCCAAAAGATATTCGGCGAGGCGGTGCTTGGACTGTCGCAGGGCTCGGTGAGCGAGTTGTTGAGCAAACCCAAGCCCTGGCACATGCTCAGCATCAAGGGCCGCGAGCCCTTCATCCGCATGCAGCTCTGGCTCACGGACGAGCACAACATCGACCGGCTACAGGCCCTGAAGAATGAGCGCCGCGAGGCCAACAAGAAGCGCCGTAGCATCGGACCCGGCCACGACAACAGCTCCGACACCTCGAGCAACGACACGGCCGAGTTCTACCACGCGCCCTCGCCCGGTCCACCCTCGGCCAAGAAACAGCGCGTCCTATTCAGCGAGGAACAGAAGGAGGCGCTGCGGCTGGCGTTCGCGCTCGATCCCTACCCGAACGTCGCGACCATCGAGTTCCTGGCCAACGAGCTCGGCCTCTCCTCGCGCACCATCACCAATTGGTTCCACAACCACCGCATGAGACTGAAGCAGCAGCCGCCGCACGGCCAGTCGGAGCAGCCCACGACGGGGATCACCGCGGCCACCGTCACGGCGACGCAGCCGGCGACTCGCGAGCCCGGCCAGCCCTTCGACCCCGTCCAGTTCCGGCTGCTGCTCAACCAAAGACTGCTCGACATACAGAAGGAGCGGCTGGGCCTGGGCCTGAGCGGCGTGCCCCTGTCCTACCCGCCGTACTTCAACCCGAACCTCGCGGCCCTCGTGGGCAGCGCCCTCAAGGAGCAATGCTCGGGCCTCGATTTGTCGATGGGGTCGCTCAAGCGCGAGCCCAATCCCGAGTTCGAGGACGATGACGCGGAGGCTGACGCCGAGGCCGACGACGTCATGAGCAACCTGGGCAGCGAGGACAGCGAAACCTCGGCCGCGAGTATAAAGCGCGAGCCCGCGGAGGCACCCGCCCCTTCGAGCAACTCCGCCCCGGGCGGAGCGAGCCAACAACAGAACAGTGGTGGTGGAGGAGGAGGAGGAGGAGGAGGTAGCAGTAGTAGCAGTAGTTCGCGCCGGCGCAAGCCCGCGGCACCCCAGTGGGTCAATCCCGAGTGGCAGGAGCCGGCGGCACGTCCGGGGGACGAGGTCATCATAAACGGGGTCTGCGTGATGCAGACCAGTGGCGATGATTATTCCGTGAAGCGTGAGCCCGAGGAGACGGTGAGGGTCGAGCCTACGCCCGTTCAAGACCTCCACCACGCGCACCACCAGCACCGGCCGGCTTACGACGACGACGCGCAGAGCGACGTGTCCTCGGGCTCGGCGGAGCCGCGCGCGGTCATCGGGGACATCAGGGAGCAGCCGAGTCCTTCGCCTAGTCCAAAGTCAGCTTCGGGACAGCACAGCGCCGTGGGCTCGCCGAGGCTGGTATCGACGCCTCTTCCACAGGTCGGCGACGACGAGCCGGCCGGCAGTCCCAAGCAGCAACAGCAGCAGCAGCCCGTTAAGCACGAGCCCGAGGAGGCTTGGGATTACTAGACTGCGCCACCGGAGAGAGAGACCAGAGACAGAGCGAGCCCCTAGCTGACTCCTCCTCGTTCCAAGAGTATTTATTCCAAAGCTGTGAGCTGGCCAAGCCAAGCTAGACGAGAAATCGCTCGAGCAAGCAAGACTGAGCACGCTCGTGCGTCATCCGCTCCCCGGGATGAGGCTTTTATCATAACGTACTGTATCTTTGTTAAGTTGTTTTTCATTTTCTATTATTATTTCTCGTAATATCTCAAAGCCAGCAATAGGATTCGGCCGGAGCCGGGTCCTGCCTAAGGTTAGGGCATTAACTTAAACAAAATAAAAGATATGTTAAAAGTAAGGTAAAACAATGAAACGAAAAAGGATGACGCGAGGGCACCCATTTACGTGTGTGTGGCTTCGTCGTCGAGTACCGAGCAGAATCAAAAGAAATATGCGAGGCTTTTCAAGTTGGCGCACCTTGACGAGTCGAGTTATTTGTACACGCAGGATGACAACGAAGGAGAATGAAGAAACAGATGATGGGGATGAGTTGCGTTGAGAGGAAATAATGTGAATCGTCATTTAGTTGTAAGTTATCGAAATTTGAGAGAATATCCCTTCACCTCTGCCTTCCAGCGGATCGCATGAAAAATCGTACGTTGATACAAGTATACTTGGAGGAAGGGAGGGCCGATGGCGCAGGGCCGATTCTCTCGGAAAACAGTGCAATCTCCACGTAACCGATTGTTAGATTGATTTTTAAGTGCAAGAGGAACGATTCAAGTGCGAGTTTTATGTAATGTGAGCGAACGAACGAATGAGAGCAAATTACATTGGTAAGAAAAATAAAACAACGATTGTGCTATGAGAGAGAGCGAGAGTGTGCGACAAAATTGCATAATTGTGATTAATGTTATCGTTTATATTGATCCTCCACCCCCCCCCCTCCTCCCCGATTCCCCGTGCGAAAACTCCTTTTTAGCTGTTAAGCTGTTGACGTTATTGCATATATTTCACTTTCGAGTTACGTAATTATAAAAAATATATATGTATACANTTAAAAGAAAAATAAATGAGGTATACAAAACATTGAAACATGTGAGAGATTTATTGTCTTTAGCTTGTTATGATTCACAAGTAATCTTTGGTAAATTAAAAACAAAATCAGCAAGACGAAATGCATTCATGTTTCAGTTAAGAAGGCTATATACGTTATTGCATATATTTCACTTTCGAGTTACGTAATTATAAAAAATATATATGTATACAAAACGTCGATTTTTACGTTGTTAATAAGAAAATGAATGAAAGAATGATGGAAATGAGCTTGTCCAATCTTTTTCTTTCCACTTCCCTTTTGCTTGCCCGCACCGTTTTACGTTATTGTAAAAATTATTATCATTATTTCCATTGTCATTATTATCATCATCATTATCATTTTGAGGAAACACTAGGATCGATCGTGTCGATCGTATAGACACTGTTACCAATGTTAGTTATTTCTGTTATTATGACTTTAATATTATTATCATTATTACTATTATTATTATCATAATAACAGAAATAACTAACACTGTTACCAATGTTAGTTATTTCTGTTATTATGACTTTAATATTATTATCATTATTACTATTATTATTATTATCATTATTATATTATTGACATTATTATTATTATAATCATTATTACGTTTTAGTTATGATTGCTATTTTGACTATATAATCGCTAGGCGAGAAGAAAAACTGTACAGTAATCATTGTAACTTTTATTTAATATAAAGTTGTTTGCGATGAGCAAAAGGGCCTAGCCAAAATGAAAAAAAAAAAAAAAAAAAAAAAGTTAGACGACTTGCCCATGATGACTTATTTTTGTTTTTATATTTCTTATATTATAAGCACAAGTGTAGTATCGATACGACGATAATGCAAAAATGTTGCGAACACGATCAATCGTGAAAAGTTGTATAAATAAATAATTGAGAGAAAAAAAAAGGAAAAACTGTAGCGTAGAACTTCGTATCGAAAATTTTAAATTTTCTTTATTATCATCGTCTTTTGACCGTATTATAAATTATTATTATTATTATAATTATTATTAATTAATTATAAAATTACATTAAGACGAGCGAAAACAATACACACACAGACGCAAAAAAAAATATGAACGGCTTGTGAAGCCAATGTGATAGAGCTTGCGCGCTGCGAGAGAAACTGGCTGGAGCATTAAACGCGTTTCTATATTAGACTGCGTCGCAGCAGTTTTAAGTATACACAATTAAAAAATGTAGACAAATTAAGAAGTGACTCGTAAAGAGCCGCCAAGTAATAATATTATTATTAATATAGAAAAAAAAACAGCATCTTTGGACTCTCGAAGCGCGAAAGCAGTTTTCTTGGCGAAAACTTCTATTTTGTAAATATCTTTGTACATATATATATGAGATAAGAATATACAATTAAGAATAAACAAGAACCTTGTGTAAAAAACAAATATTACTCTCTTATCGCAATTAACTCCATAATCACGTATATGTGCGCACGATCAATAAAAGTATCAAAAAAATGTGGGGTGTGCGTGTTATAACGTCGCGATGTATGCAGTAGCACACGTTTTTAGCTGCTGATGCACTGCCGCGACCGATATACGACAAAACTGCAACGCTGTCGTTATGGCTACGACATAATAATATACGGTCTGATCGAGTATAACACACACACATATATATATATACAATAGCAATGCGTGCACGTGTGAGAGAACGTATGTGAAAAAGATCCGAGAAGTGAGGCAAAAAAAAAATTCTTTAATACTATAAATAAATCAAACTACCGTCGTCTACCGGTTTAAGCTACGTTTAATATTTCATTAAATTCTAGTCCGTGCAGTTTAACGAGAAATAATGAAAGAGTGAGAGCTCATTTTTACACGAGTTTCGCAGTTTTACTAATAATCGACCGGTGATGTGATTTATGTGGTATATGATGTGTACGATTACAGGAAATTTAATTTATCCCGTTTAGTTTTTATCGAAGGTGGTTATAAAAAAAAAAAAAAAAGTAAATAAATAACTAACATAAAATAAAATTTTTCATACATTTTTACTTGTACTTTCGAACGAAAAATGAGATGACGAATGAATAATAATATCGATAAACGTTTCTTTACAACGAGAGATAAATTGTTCAAACAAACAGAGAAATAATTCAAATGGCTCTGAAATTCGCAAATTTTTTTTTTTTTTTTTAACGTCTTTCATTTTGTTCAATAAAATAATCAAACGACAAGGGCATCGCGATAGCAATGAAAAGATCATTCCGAAGCAAACTAGAAAAATTGAGAAAACATTAGAGACGATGAGAGAGTGCAAGTTTTTTTTGTGCAAGATGAGAGAAGTAGATTAAATGAATGGGAGCCTCGGTGGCAAGTGTATAACTATCGACAACCTTCACTCGAACGGCGTACAGTATATAATAATATGTGTAAAGAGTTGGTTGGTCTCTCGCTCCGGAAGTATTCGATCAGCGGCGCTCGGTGGTCCATGATTTTTCTCGTTCGTCGAACTATAGGTTCTTTGTAGATAATGGAGTAGAGAGAAAAGAGAGAGAGAGAGAGATGAACAGGATACAAGTAGCCAATAGTTTTTAATTATTTCACAAACGGGGTAAAACATCATGAATAAACAATAAATAGGATACGGACATGAGACGAGTGAAGGGTGGTTGGTGACAAAAAAGCGTGTACAATAATAATATTTAATAAATGAAAAATACGACAAACGCGTAGTCCAAGGGATTAATTATTATTATTATTATTATTATTATTATTATTATTATTATGATGATGATTCTGGTTATCGTGAAAAAGTTATTTGCAGTGCGTGAAAGTGTTGGATCTCCGTACGTATAGTAATGAAAATAAAATAAAATAAATAATGATAAATAAAATAACGAAATGTACGCCTAACGTCGGTGGACGAAACAAATCATATCGTAAATCTTACAATGAATATTTTACAATATAAAAAAAATGTAGATAGATATTCAGTCCAAGGAAGTAAACTTCTTATCGAGACCGCCTCAATTTCCTCCGCCCCTCCCTCGGAAATTTTTCCCCTGCCCTGTTGTTGTTGTTGTTGTTGCAACAACGACAAGAAGCCAATGGAAGCAAAAATACGATTAATATAATATTGATCTATGCGTAGGAGCTTAGAGACGCGAGTAAAATCGAAGAGAGAATGGAATCGAGAGAATAAATTTACAAGGGACACAAGCGCACCGTCGACTTTTTTCAATAGTTAACAAAAAAAAAAAATAAAAAAAAAATAAACTAATGTATCAAAGAGAAATTGAGAGAGCGAGCGAGCGATTTACCTGCAGTAATAATAAAAAATAGTTTAATCATTTGTATTTCCTTTTGAATTGTATTATATAGCTTTAAAAAACAAACAAACAAATAAATAAATAAATAAAATGAATTATCCTGTACATTGCATAAACACTATTGCACTATATTGTTTTTAAATTGTACGTTTATGATTATTATGATTATTATTATTATTCGAAGATTAAAAGAAAAATAAATGAGGTATACAAAACATTGAAACATGTGAGAGATTTATTGTCTTTAGCTTGTTATGATTCACAAGTAATCTTTGGTAAATTAAAAACAAAATCAGCAAGACGAAATGCATTCATGTTTCAGTTAAGAAGGCTATATGTGATCAGAATCAACAAAATTATACGTGCAAGCTCGTTTTCGCTTATTGTGAATGCGTTTCTGTCTACATACACTGCATATATATATAGTCACAATATGAAAGAATAACAGATGTTTGAGAATACTTTCATTGTATATACGTATACATATTAAAATAATATTCATATCACTGTCTTCATTGAAAATTTCTAAATTAAAAAATCTGTATTTAAAAATTGCAACTTGGTTCATTCTGCTAATCCTCCCCCCTTTTTAAATTATTTTTAGTACATATTATTCAGAGGCTTCAATTTTAAACAGTATGTTAATTTTTTTAATTTTTCATTATATATCGATGTGATGAAAGAAATCTTAAGCGATAATATAAGTTCTTCAAAAATACATAGGTCAACCCTATATCTGCTGCTGTTAAAAAATATTCCAACAGGTAAGACTGACTTGGCTCAATCTCCAAACCGCAAATTTCGAAATTTTAAATAAGTGAACAAATAAAATAGTCACAACTTTCTTTAGTGGTTATGGTTGTATTTATAGTGTTTTAATGCGATAAATAATTTTAAGATTTGAATTTTGCAGTTTGCGAATTAAGCTATGGCCACGCTGGTATTTCAAAGTACCGACCAATGGTAAGTAAATTTTTGAAGATCAACACCTTTTTTTAATTGAATTAAACAATTTATAAGATAAAGAAATCTAGTATTACTCGAAATAATTTCAACAAAAATGAAAATTTTAATACTTTAAAGTAAACATCACGGTAATGTTAAATAAATTTAGTATGATATTAAATTATACAAGTCAAAGCGAGTTGTTTTTGTTAATTTTTTTCGTATTTTAAAATTCAAATACAATAGCAAGGACAAAATATGACTTATTGCGTGTAAATTGCGTTTGACAAAAATCGAGAAATAAATAATTTCAATTTCAAATTAATGTATTCTGTAGAAACTAAAGCTTGAAAAAAAATTTACAAACTCTGTTACAAAAACCCATTTCTGGATATTCCTACTGTATAATTATTCACAATAAAACTTATTTACTTGTAATTGTTAAATACTTCAGCTTGATATTTCCAGCAAGATCTTTACAAAAAAATTTGTATAATATTCACAATACACATATTCACTTCATAACTGCCACAGTAAGTAATTGTTGGTTTAACTTTGTTTATTAGACTTTACAAAAATTTACTTATATATTATAGAAAGTAAGAAAATATGAAATGACGCTAAACAATCATTACAAGTAATTAAACATGAATGAATGATTTACTAAAATCACAAGACTTTTTTTGTAGATCGAAAGAAATTTAGCAGTGGTTAAAATAGCGAGGAAGAAAGGGTACATAGATGGACTTAAAGTTTACAATAACGATATTAAAAGTTATGTTGGTACAGATGATTTTTTTTTTTTTTTTTTAATATTATGTTTAGATGTTTTTTTGTTGTATCAATTTTTTTTTTTTTTTTTTTTTTTTTTTTTTTTTTTTTCAGATCCAACGAAGAAACCCAAGTCGATAATGCGGTACATCTTTCGAGACGCTTGGCGAAGGGCGAGAAGAANGTAGCTATTTAATCTTTTATTAAATTATTACAACCATTCATCAGAATAAAAATTTAATAACAAAAGTATTTTGGAAGACAATCATTTGACGTGATAGTGGCTAACATGATTTTATCGACTGACAGGCTCATTCACCGTCGAAAGATTTATTTTTTTTAGATCCAGATGTACACTTATGATTCACTTTATTTGCCAAATCATCCCTCATGTGTCTCTGGCAACGATGACAATAAAAAGTTTTGATCAACGGTTTTCTGATATGACTTTCAGGATTTTCAGAACTAGACTTATTCTGCTTGTTGTTAGAGTTATTTTTGCAATCCATTTTTGCAACCAAGAAAATGGAAACAGGTCACTAGTTCGTGATTTGGTTATAATTTTTTCTGTTGCCTGCTTATTTAGGAGCTGAAAATGATGCTGTAATTAAAGAAAAAAAATTGGTTAGTTTGAAAATAAATGTTTCTCTCGTTACAATATCAAGAACCATGTACTATTCTACCTGGGATATAGAGAGACACAATGACGGAATAAATTATGTTTTCGAATAGCAATTGCAACTCGAGAAATTATAAAAAAGTTAGTCTTTAAAAAATATTTCAAGTTTAAATAATTTATTGGCCGTACTTTTAAAAAGTACAGTACGAAAAAAATTTTAACAAAGAAAATTCGTTGACTATTAGTAACCAATACAAATGAAAGTTTAAAAAGTTTATTTTGCACGAAAATAATCGTTTTCTAATCTACTGCTCTTTTTATATATTTATTTGATTGAACTTGAAAAGGAGAATATAGTAAAATTAGAGTTAGAACTTGGATGTAAAAAGATAAACAACCATATACAATGGGTATATCAATATTAACAGCTGTTTTTAAAAACGGTTTCAGGGAATTTTTTGAGTTCAAGTTGATAAAGCTGTACAAAATTTTATTTTAACGAATTTCGATTTAATAGTATTTTCGGAAATTGTTTTCAATTTGAAATCATAAATGAAAAACTAGTAATAGCTTTTCTATATTTTTTAGTGACGAGACAGTTTGATCGATTTCAAACTGATAGCATTCTAAAAAAAAACAAGGGGCTAAATTTATGCAAAAACTGCGTAAAAAGTTTAAAAGTTGGTACTGTTCGGTGTAGGGTTGGTAAAAAAATGTACACATTCCTACGGGATGAAAAAAAGAAAGCCTTAGAAGACAATGATTATCGCCCATAACTTTGCATTGAGTGTCAATCGTATGTATTCTGAAGAAGATAGTATTATATCGTTTTTTGCGATTGATGACGTTAATTTTATCTTACGGACATAAATTTTAGTTTAAAAAAAGTTATATTTTTTCACGATCTATGAGTTTTACATTAACTTTATAATCTGAAATTATTATTAATATTGCAGAATTTGCTTCAGAAAAGTATATTTGTAAATGCGTATTGAGCTGCGATTATTTTGTATTTTTATTTTTTTCAGTCCGAGGGTTATCAATACGTTGAATAGTAGCTGTCCAAAGGACTCGACAAAATCGCACAAAAGCTCTAGGCTTCTCTTAACATAAAAAAATGAATGTCGGCTTTATCCATGCTTTTAGTGACACTGATGTTTGTTAGCATTATGCTAACAAGTTTGTTCGTACAGTGCTTATGGCTTTCCTGAAAAATAATTTTCTAAATTACTTCTTACAACGGAATTGATTCAGAAATATTATTACAGTATATAACTAAAACGGAATTTCTATATTGTATAGTACAGTATAACCATTTCATTTAGAATAAGGAAATTAATAACGTGCTAGAAGGGAAAAAAAATTGCAACAAACCTTTAAAACAGACCAAATAATTCACAAATAAAGAGCTAGTAGAATTTGAGTGGAAAATAAAATAAGGTAAATGAAGTCATTTATCTACCTGAATTAAATAAGTCTTTTCAAGTAAATGTTTCTTCATATCCTACATACATTCTTCTTGACTTTTCCTGACGCATCTTGCCACTTTTTTTTTGAATTCTGTATAACTTTCCCTCCACTCTTTCTGTAATTATTATAGGTAAGAAGAGATTTATTGTGATAAAAAAAAAAAAAACAATAAATAAATAAAAAAAATAAAATAAAATAATTATAATACTCACGGCTGCATCAACATTAGCTGGACTTTCATCATTTGGATCAGCAAGCATACTGATGACACTGATCAAAATTGTTTCCACAGTGTGTACTGGCAGCCACCGTTCTGACGCTTTTTCGTACCCCCATTTATCATCACCAGGTTCGTGCAATATAGATATACAGACGTCTCCGTTTTTTTCAACTAAAAATAAATATAAGGACGAATGAAAATGAGCAATTGTAAAGTAGGTTAGTCATTTTATAAATTTTGTAAAATTTTTCTCGATTCTTACTGTTTGGATGCCATATTTCTGTTATAAATTTCATTCTAGGTGGCCTAAGGGGGTATTCTTTTGGGAACTGTAAGTGAGCTTTGAAAAAGCCACCCTCGCTGAAAGAATATTAATTAAGTTATAAATTTATCTTTATCACTACTATAAGTCTTTAAGAATTAAAAGAAACTCACTACAAAGTGTCCGGAGGTCCAATAATAAGTACTTCCCATCGATAAATGTCATTGTCGTCGATGAGACCTGCAGAAAACCCTTCCACTGGGTTTTTATTTAATTCTGAAATCATACAAAAATTATCGTTAACCTAAGGACCATCCGCACAACTTGAGGTATATACATGCATCAATCAAGTTTTAGAAGAAATAGAAAAAAAATTTACTGCGAAATAAAAATTCAATGGGTTGAAAATTAAATCTCTTTCTGATAGGTGAGAGAGAGAGAGAGAGCTCGTCGTGCTTGCATTTAAATATAAATTTAATAGTATTTGCAAGATATTTATAGACGTTGTTGAGAAAAAGCCATGCAATTCGGGTGCACATGAAACTATTTGTGCAGTTGGGATGAGATTGTTTTCTCGTCATCCAGGCCAAGCTTAAAATATTACAGCCAAGGAGATGGATGGAAAACGGATCTGCAGCTCGAGGCATGGGGACTGGGGAGTGAAGAAAAGAAAAGAAAAGAAAAGAAAAGAAAAAAAAAAAAAAAAAAAAAAGAAGGAGCTAGTCACGCTCAAGAGAAACGGCAGTTGGGCATGGCGTTTTTAACAAGATCCGGGGGGCGACTGACAGACAACAGATCAGCGTCAGCCTCCCACCCAGTACGGCCTCTTATTCTTTTCCCTGTAAGCGCCTCTTGGAGGGGCACTTGGAGGTTATGTGTCCCGAGCATGAGCCTCGTGCGTCCGGCACCTAGACATCGACCGGCACACGGCCGACGAGGTCTTTCGTGACTAGTGCCTCAAGGTGAGGTTGCTCGAGACGATAGGTTTAGCTAAAATCTCGTCTTCAAGGCCGAGATAATGAAAAGATGCAGCTCTAGGGCTTTATAAATATACACGGTGGCCTAGTCAAGTCATCGACAGGCCGGGTCGAGCGATCCCGAAACGGCTCTCACGCAGGAGGTCAAGGACCTCGCGTTCGAGGGAGACATGCATTTGGCGTGAAAAAAAGCGAAGCAAGGACTAGGAGGGATAATGTGGCCATTCGGAATGATGTGGATGCACCAGAGGGCCGGAGGAGCTGGGCGTTCGGGCGAGCCCGGACTCGCTCTTGGAAACTACGGAGTAAATTTTTTTTCCCCCGGCTTCGGGAGCTAGGGCCCGTTAAAGGTTGGGTTGGCGAGTAACGAGGATCATAAAAGGAAGAGCAACGAGGCACAGAAAGTGGGAGAGAGAAAGGAATAGGCTACTGCACAGCAGCGCGTATTGATTTTGGGAAGCGGATCCGCCTCGAACTCGTGGGGACGACGTGGAGGAGCGTAGGCTCCAAGGAAGCCGGGGAGGCTTTTACGGTCGGGATCTTCTGGGTGTCCGGAAGGTCCATCGAGCTAAGAGCCTAGCAAAAGGAGATACGAGGCACAGAAGATTCGGGGTCCAATGCTATACGCGCACTCGAGATACACACACGCACAGAAAAAGAGAGATGGGTAGTCAGGGGACGGCGAGGTAAGCTATCCTCTTGGCTCTCGTCCCGCACTAATCACCCGCACACTGTACCTGCTAATTGTTTTTTCAACAGAAGCGACGACTGTGGTTCTGACATTAATATTAGTTCGATTAAAATGTGGACTTGAGGCTGAAAAAACACAACACAACTATCGGACCAAGTCGAAAAGATGGCTATATGTATAGGCTATACGTCGCGGTCGCGCGCTTATACTTTCACTGCGCTTGCGCCACCTGCTTTTGAAACATATGTTGCGTCGTTCTGGCCAGTCCCGTCAGTGGCAGCACTGGCGCACACGCACACCACAATATACATCAGCTTCTTTTATTTATTCGCAGCTTCCGAGAGAAATTAAATACAATTTGTGTAGGTACATAAGTACTTTGAATGTGAGATATATTGATAGAAGATGATAGGACTGCTGATTTTGCTGCTAATACCTCAAAATCGCGAGGGTATGCTGGAAATTAATAAAATGTTTTCATATCATCGTTCGATAACGTCGTTGTATGTAACTTACCCGCGGAGATTTTACTTTAACGTGTTATGATAAATATTCCGGCTTTTTTGCCAGATAACGATAATTTTGAGAGTATTCGAACCAACGTTTGGTTAAAGTAAAATTACCTTTACGATCATACGACGAAAAATAAAAATTGCCAACTATTCACGGAAATTTTGATCGATTGTTTACTTTTAGATTTTGAAAAAATTTAAAAAACCCCACTTGTGTAAGTATGCCACGTAAAATATTCTCACTTAGCATTTAAGTAAACAATATAGTTTTCAAGACAATTCGTTGATTTTTGCATACAATGTGAGAGAAAAAAACGATATCACCAGAAAAACCGTGACATTTAAATGTAGGATCAATCCCTGAGAGGGAGAAAAATTGCGCGCGACAATATACCAAGGGTGAAAATCCCGAGCTGTATCCCATCAGACACATGCATGCAACACTTGTGAGTAGTATATGATGTATAAATATGTGTGACCCGTTTGGGCGTGCTGAGTTTCGATCGCGGCGAAAGAATTTCCGCTTCCACGACGCATTGCACGGGTGCGCAAAAGAAGCGATGAAAAAAAAAAAAAAAAAAAAAAAAAAATAGCGAAGGAAAAAGTCGTCCAGCTGAAAGCTGCTGCAATGGATCGCGGGAGAGCGAAAAAAGGAAAGAGATAGATGGGAGGACGAAGCTGGAGAATTTTTAGCGCATATACACATACGACGGCGTACATGCCTCTTCAGCGATTTTGCGGCGTTACATTTGCGATTTATGACTCGATTTCGATTCCATTTCGCGCCGTGACTTGTTTACTTATTGGCAGTCTTGTACACGTTGTGTTTTGTACAAAAACTCTATTCGTACATAGGTATAGGTACGTTCGACGTGAATAAACATAGACGTGTTTCGGATTTTCTAGAGCAGCTTCAACTCTCTGCGCTTCGTACACGCGTTGCTGGAAGCTTTAAATACTTAATCCCTGCAAAACCTACTTACGAGGTAGAGTAAACGCGGATTTGCTGCTCATTTGGCCCTGTTTCAGTGGTGCATGTATTAGGTATATTGCAATGCGTTAACGTTAGGTAATCGCGTTTTTTTTTTTTTTATCTTCTTCCAGTTTAAATTTTACTTTGCACATCCATTACGCGTATACCAACTTTTAGGAATTAATGCTTCCTATTTGTATTAATGGTAATGAAAACTATCGAGAATCGGTAAGAGTTTAAAAGACTCGTAGCTCGCACGCGTCGATAACTTTCTGGATTTGGTGTAATTTTACGAAAGCGTAAATTCACGGAAATATAACTCGTGGATAATTAGCTGCTGCAGGAGAGCGAAATCCCGAACAATGAGGCAAAAACTGCAGGAGAGAGTACAGCAACAGTGCAAACGCGACTCAGCAATTCTCCGTGAAATTTCATTTCGATAACGCGATCGCGATTAAAGCGCGGCATTACGATATTTCGACGATTGGCCGTTGCAGCCCTGCCTAATGGAAAAGTTGCGACCAAAGATTAACGATTAGCCGAGAGAGAGAGAGAGAGAGCAGCGACGCATAATGCCCGCACTGAGCCGATTAATCCCTACGATCGCACGCCGTATAATAATCCAGGCCGTAAATTTCGAGGATTACTTTTCGGACGCGTCAGCCTTCGTGATCTGCATCTACAGCTCTCTGTCTCTCTCTCTCTCACTCGCTGTTGCACTTTGATTTCCATCATTGATGTACGTTGTTGTGTAATGAATGATTCCTTTTTTTTTTTTTTTTTTTTTTTTTTTTTTTTTTTTTTTTTTTTTTTTNCTGTTTTTTAAATTGTAATTTGTATTTATTTATCAAGACGTGTAGGTCCAACATAGTCTGGCACAGTAAATGTTTGCATGCAAACAAGTGCATTAATAATAAAAACTAGCTTTTGTAGATAAAAATGAAACATAAGGAAGTACAATATTTAAAAAGATTAAAATGGTAAAAACAAGCTAGGTCTCAAAGGAGATCTTAACGAATGAGAGTTTATTATTTCGTCAATGCTTTTATTTAGTACTTTTAAGATATACATTGCTCGACAAACGATTATGCAGACGTGTATACAATATTCTGTATTTTACATCGGGACGTCGACTTTTTCAATTTTGTTTTTTTTTTTTTTTCCTTTTATTCCTTTTTATGTTTTTCTCAAATAAAGTATATATTTACAGGATGATGAGAAGGGCGTTTTTTTATGCCTTTCCACGTGGCTTTTCTGTTTTGTTTTTTTTTCTTTTTTTTTTTTAAATCTTTTTCATTTTGCAAATCTCTGCAAATAGGAATACATTTGACGCCGAGGAATAAACGTCACGTGTGAATCGAGACGCAGCTCAATATTCTTTATCGTGACATTTCTGTGTGGAAATATTTTCCATGCCACTCGTCATTCGTCATGACTTCGAGCGCCAACACTCACATACGTGCACTCGCACGCGTAACATATACATACACATGTTGCTGCTGATTCCGCCATTGTTGACTGCATGGGATGCAAAACGTGTATATACGTATAAAATATCGATTATCGTTTCTCAACTGAACTCCCATCCGAAGGCGTTCCGACAGTGTATAATGTGCCACCGTTGCTGCCGCTTTGTATACGAGCTGCAGTGCGCATGCAGCCCCGATCGCTTTCATTCATTCCCACACTTTACATTTACTTCAATGTATTTTTTTTTGTATCATTTTCTTATTCTTCTCTTTTTTCATGTTTTAAGTGTTTTTTTTGTGATTTTTTTTTTGTTTTGGTATTTTTTAATCTAACAGACTCACTTTCTCTTACCTTACTTAAAACGATGAAATTTGATTTTATTTTTATCTTATGTTATTATTTTTATTTCAAGTGTAATAAAACCACGCCTTCGGAAACACTCGATTTCGCTTTCGTTTTTGCATAACTTTTTTTTATTATTTTCATGGTTTTTCCTTTTTTTATTTATTTATTATTATTTTTTTTTTTCCT